ACAAAAAGAGGAAAAAAGTCTTTTTCTTGATGTTGCAACTTTTATGATATATATACATATATAAAAGAAGATATTTTACTATTGATCTTGATGTACATATTTTAACTAGAAAAATTTAACAATTATATATTTTTTCTATTTCATATTCACGTTTTGTCGAACAAAATTTATAAACGTTAAAAGGGAGGATCTCACGACGAAATAACATAATACCTAATCGGTGAACTATAATCTTTCGACTTCCTCACTACCGATTCTATCTCATTCCTCGCGGAATAAAAATTCATTAATTTGAATGAAAGAAAAAGTCAGAAACTTATTTGCGGTTTTTCTCGCCAAAGAGATTAACGTATTAAATTGAGAAATATCGGATGGAAATTTGCATTCGATGTTAAAACATTTTATAATTCTTATAATATTATAGTATATCATTAATTTCAATGTAAACGTTAATATTAAAATCATTAAATCAAAATGTAATTAGATAATAATTAAAAATTATATATATGTCTATAAATGTATGTGTATGTTTCTGCTTTTGTGTGTGTGTGTGTGTGTATACATGTCTTACATAAAAACATGAGATTTATAAAAAGAAAAGTCAAAAAAAGAAAGAAGTGAGAAAAAACACGAAAGAAAATTAATGAATGGAAGAAAATTTACCTGACTAGCATGAACCAATGAAAGAACTGATGCTGATACTAGAGCACTAGAGCTTGAAAGGCCAGCATTAGCAGGAACATTGCCCCATACAGCAGCTAGAATTCCTTTAGGAACTTTTTCCTTTGGGATCACTTCGAGAGCACCCTGTATACCGCACAAAAAATATTTGTACCAGATTGGTCCTGTCTCGGCATCATTGATACAAGCTCTAAAAAGGTCATAAAATATCTTTTAATTTTTATTAAAGATATTAAAAAGTTCGATGATTTTCTACATTGTTTAATCTGATTTCATTTAATTATTATGACTTACTTCACTTTGTCGAAATCACATTGAAAATCATTGTAACTTGCGTTAACATTAGTAACACTGATTTGATGATCATTCGATATAGCAATTGCTACGAGTATGTGTTGCTTGATCGCCATAGGACAAACCGAATATCCGCAATAATCGATATGCTCGCCGATCAAATTTACTCTGAAACGTTATAATAATAATAATAATAATAATGATAATAATAATAATAATAATAATAATAATAGTAATAATAATAATAATGATTTATTATCTGTTCTCTATAGGAAATGACATCAAGTGGATATACAAACGAACGGATTAATTCCGATGAAATATTGCGAATAAATAACCAAGGTATATCTTTAATTGTTATATTAGAATTATTCAAATCGAACTCACCTTCCTGGAACTTTAACAACAAAGGAAGGCTCACGATCGTACTTGTGAATAAAATGATCAGTGAGAATTTTCAATTTCAACATAAACGAATCATCTGTTTTAAAAATCGACACTCCATCCTCCGATTCGGAAAAATGATGTTCACCGTTCACGTTCTCTGACATTTCTGAAAATAATAAAACGTTTGAAATGCAAAAAAAAGAAATACCTTATTGTTAATACGATCTTTTCGAAAATCATAAACAATAATAACAATAACAATAATAATAATAATAATAATAATAATAATAATAATAATAATAATAATAATAATAATAAATATAATAATAGTAATAATAATAATAATAATAATAATAATAAATATAGTAATAGTAATAATAATAATAATAAACATATGATCGTGAAAGATCTTTTTGATCATTGATCAATAGATCGATCGATTGATCAATTTGCAGATTTGCAGATTTAATTGATTGTTTGAAAATATTCGATCGAAAATGTTATTAATAAAATGGCAGATTCCATTGGAAAATTGTTAATATCCGGAATGAAAACGAGGTCAACGCCATTAATGTAATTACGTTGTTGCGCGCTATAGTGCGGTTGTAGTATCGTTCGATTTCCCCCAAACATGCCCCGGAAACTTTCGTTTAAAACTCGTGATAATCTCGCACAGTGATAATAAGAGTGTGCTGCAATTTTCACAGACGGCCACTAAAATATCTATAATTTGTTTCACGTTATGTCACTATCGAACCTTATTAATATCGTTTATCTTGATTTATTATAAAATGATTTTTCTTCTTTTTATTATCATCACTGAAAATATTAATTCTGATATCGATCAAAGATAAGATTTTTATTTACTTTTGAATATTATTTTCATAAACCGTGTCAAATAGATAAAATTGACAAAATCCAATTGATTTATGAACAATGAAGATTATTGAATAATATATATATATATATCATTTATCTATAAAAAAGTTAACACGAGATATCGATAAGTGTAAACGATAAAATCTTCATCTATATATTATTTTAAATGTATTTAATATCGATATTTTGTCACGAGATAAGATCGAAATACACATTGTATTTGCATATATTTGCTCTTATTTAAAATTATAATTACGAAAATTTAAATTGCCCGCGTTTAGTTTAACCTATCGCTATCTCTATTTTTATACTGACTCATTATCGTAATCTATCATGGAATCATCTCCCACGTAATCATTAGCGGAAAACTACTTTGTTTGCTTTATTTCTCGTACTTTTTCTAATTGATAAATTTATAATACAAAAAAGAAAATATTAACCGTTACATGCAATGAAGTGCATTCTTATTGATGATAAAATGAGAATGACATTCGAGTGTATCATATTATCTCATTTAATACAGATATTTGAAAGGTATTCTTCAATGAACATATTAGCGATTACAAACGTAGTTGATATTATATTTATCTTAAGTATATGTGTATATGTATGTGTATTTATATAAAAAAAATAATACCTAATAAATTGTTGTCTTAATAAAAAAATCAGGTTCACTCGAAATTGCCGTTGAGCCTTTTTTCTAGATGAAAATATTAAGAGCCAAATCCTCCCGCTCGAAGAAAACGGACGAATGCACTTACTAAATGCAACGCAATGTGGCGCCAGCTGTCGACGTAGTTGCTTACGTGACACCCTATATAGATATAAGTATATATATATATATATATGAGCGCGTTCGTATGCGCAGAAGCATAGCCGATCGAGAAGCGTCTCAATTGTGTGAACGCCGACACGCTTCGAGAAGTTGGCGTTTATTTGTGCGATCGATTTATCGCATATTTTCGATAGATAATAAGAATGATTTAAATTATAAATATGACGAGCTACGTCATACGTACCTACCTTCTTTCTTCACGATTTCAATATATTATATGAAATAATTTTACGTCTGTTATCTTCAATAAACGTGATACTTCTTTTTTTTTATGCTGCGTCGCCCGGTATACACTTTTAGACTTTATCGATCTAGTCAATGTTTCCTTCAACGAATTCCCTCCATGACCGCTCGTGGCGTTACCGATCATTACAAGTCCCGCCATTTTTTAAAGCTATAGCGCGGTAATTTTTGAATAATATATATATATATATATATATATATATATATATATATATATATATATATATATACACATATAGACAAACTAATTTCGTAAATTGACATCCGCCTTTTTTTGCATCATGCTATACTTGTTATTTATCTCGATGAACATATAAACATTAACTCTTATTTAAGATAGCATGTTTCCTTTTTATATGCAACGATTATTCGTGAACGTTTCGTGTATAAAATAATTTATTAATGCACATACGAATCGTAGTATTTAACAAGTGAAGAATAATTAATGAAGAAAAAACTTAAAGAAAAATTCGTATCATTAGGGTCTATCTTAAAAATCTTTATTTGTATGTGTTACGTATAATTAAACGTATGAAATAGTTGACATTTCGCTAAAAAAAGATCATATTCTTTTTCTCATACATTTTTTTTTTTATTTACATTTCATCGATCTGCATTGGCAATATAATAATATACGCTTCTTTGTTTATCTTTATATTCTATAATGCAGTTACAGTTGCTCGACCTAGATTTTGAGAAGTATCCTTTCACCAAATAATGTAGAATATCCATATATAATATAATATATATATATATATATATATATATATATATATATCAAAATGAAATAAATTCTATATGATATATCGAGGTAGATATATCGAGGAATATAAAAAAATTATTATGTCAGGCATTTTGATTATGACCAAAGATATAAGTCCAACCAAACGGTTCAATTGCAATCACAGATGAAGTATATACATCATAATTATATTTGATTGTTCACGCTAGTCTCACTAGAAATTGCAACTCGATTTCACTATTTTCCACTTGAAAGATTCGACATGTTATTTTCTCTTTCTCATATACTCCTAAGATTGGCTCATGTGGATAATTAAGGAAAATTATAAATCAAGTACTTTTTCGTTTCTTTTTTCTCTCGATAATGGTAAAAACAATCTTACGTAAATTGATATTTCTTATTGTCCTTTTAACGAGTTATGTTATTTTTCCCTTTTCTTGTTTTTTTTTTTTTCTTGTTTTGTTTTCTAGACTTTTATAAATTTTATATCAAAGTACAATTATGAAAATTTTTCTCATCGAATGCATTGAATTAATAAATGATGAATGAATATTATGAAATGATAATTATAAGTTATGAAAATATAATGTGTTATTAAAAACATAACTTTATTGAAAAATTTTTATATGAATGATATTAATTATAAATTTATGTAAAATATATTAAAAAAAAAAAAAAATATTTCGCAGGAACGACATTAATAATAATTTTTTTTATATTTCATAACTTTGTTTATAACAGTAGTTCTTTTAGGTCACGTTAAATTATACGGTGTAATGGTAAAGAAAAGTAGTAAGAGTTGTGTGGGGAGTCACTTTGATAGTATAGAAAATATGTTACATACTATTTATGAGTAAATTGCAAGATGCAGTGTAAATACTCACGCCGCACGATATGAAAGATCGTTTACGGGGATAATAGGTACGTTTCGCTTCACAATACGTTTCGTGCAGTCGAGAATAGTCTATCAAAGGACGCGCAACTCTCGCGGAAGATTTATTTTCAAATACAATTTAAACGCGCGAAAATTAAAGAAACGTCAATCAATAGGTAAACATTTGAACGTTTATCTTTTTTTTTTCTTTTCTTTTTTTTCCTTTTTTTTTTTTTTTTTTTTTTTTTAATTAAAAAATTTCCACATAAATTTGAAATTCGTTAATAAATTAATATATCGAAGGGAAAAAATAAAAGAAAAGTGAAATATTATTTTATTAAAGCATAACAAAGTGTATCGAATATTAAATTTAAATTAAATTAAATTATTTCAATAAGATTTCAAATATATCAGTGATCATATGATATCGGATAAAATGAAATCGGAATATAAAGTTACAGAGTTTCGAATTTTAGAAACAAAGTTGACGTGTATTTTTAAATAGTTTCTAACATTTTTCCACGCTCCAAATATAGTGTTTCAAGAAATCTCCAAGTAGAAGAAATACGACTTTCATCTTGTCAAGAAAACTTTCTCTTCGTATTAGCTATGTTTTGCGATCCGTTTGTATTGTTCAATAAATATGCAAATATGTGTAGAAAATCTTTTATTATTAATGTAAAAAGACATTTTTTAATCTATCTAAATGTTCATAAAAATAATACAAAAAAATGTAACTTTCTTTTTTCATCGATTTTATTTAGATATTTACGATGGATTTAAAAGAAACGTTAATCCTTATTTACGACGTTCTATTATTCTTGATAATGTCAATATTCTATATATTCGAAACAATAATATTTACAATCGTTCCACAACGTTATCGTGAAAAATCTATCAAAGGGAAAATAGCTTTAATTACTGGAGGTGCCACTGGAATTGGTAAATTGATTGCCCAGAAATTATCTTATTTAGGTGCTAACGTTATCATCTGGGATATAAATAAATCAGGTAATATATATTAATTATTATTTTCTAAATTATTTATTAAAAATAAAAGCTATCTATTAAAATTATATATTAAACTATCTATTAAGGCGATATATATATATATATATATATATATATATACACATATTTTATATTTATTATATAATGTAATAAAATATCTTTAGCACTCGAAGATACGGTAAATGAAATAAGAAGACACGATGGAAAATGTTGGGGATATTATTGCGATATTTCTAATCGAGAAGAAATATTTAGAATTGCGAAATCCATTAAAATTGAGATTGGTAATGTAAGTAATTAAATAATTGATATAATAAAAATTCACATACACATACAGATTTATATTTATATATAATTTATAATTTATTTAAAATAATTTTGCTATTAATTTTATATAAATTATAGTTTAATTATTTTAGATAGTTTTTCTATTCGTTTTATATTTAAATGATTCATTATTTTCTTTATATTTTTAAATAGATATCATTATTGATAAACAATGCTGGTTATGTATATGGTAAAACTCTTTTGGATATACCAGACGAAGAAATAGAACGTACATTTAAAATAAATATATTGGCGCATTATTGGGTATGTCTCGATGCATTTTCATAAATTCTACTATTAATAATAATATTGATTATTTTTTTTTTTTTTTGAGTTAGACGATTAAAGCATTTTTAAAAGATATGATGAAAGAAAATTATGGACACATCGTAACAATAGCAAGTGTTGCTGGTTTATTAGGAACTTACAATTGCACTGATTATTCAGCCACAAAATTTGCTGCCATTGGACTTCACGAAAGTCTTTTTTCAGAACTCAAAGTAGGAAGACAAATTTTTACAATTATACTTAATTCGATATTATTATTAGATTATTATTAATATAAAACTTGAAATATATTTTTAAGGCTAATGGATACGAAGGGATTCATATGACACTCGTTTGTCCTTATTTGATTAATACGAAAATGTTTTATGGTGTTAAACCTAGGTAATTAGAAAATGTGTATATCAATGAAAAATCTAATATTCACACGTGTACAGAAATTTAATGTTTTCTTAAATTATAAAATCGTAGATTGATGAAAATGCTCGAACCCGAGTACGTTGCCGAAGAAGTAATAAAAGGAATATTATTGAACAAAGTAAATGTTACATTACCTAACATTGTCAGACTTCTTTTGCCACTAAAATGGTAAGTTATATATATATATTGAAAAAACATATTATTATTAAAAAATAAATTTTTTCTGTTTCCATGCACAGCTTATTACCTGCAAAAATGTGTTGGGATTTAATGTATCGTATAATACGTGGACCACAATCAATGATGATGTTTAAAGGACAAGAAAATATAGAGATGCATCAAAAAAATAATAATATTATTGAAAAGACTGAAAAATTACACCTACAGTAATTATATTCAAAAATATACTGCATAATTTTGTAAGTAAATTCATGATATATTAATTGATAATACTTCATTTCACAATCGAAATAAAATCTTGATTAGTCATAAGAATACTATACATATGTATGTAATATACTATAAAATGTTAGTATTCTTAGAGGATATTTGTTATAATATTGTTTATTAATTATTGGCCATTAGATACGTATATCAATCGATGGATTATGAAAACCCAATCGGCAGAATATGATACTTCATTAGAAAATTCTTATAACAAGTCATAAAAATAATTCAATCCTTGACCAAGCTCCCAAATAGCAATACCTGTACCTAATTCTGCTGCAAGGTCAAATCGATGTATGATGGAATACAAAGTAGGATAAAAAATATATCCACTGCCTAAAGAAGATCTGAAATATATGATATTTAATAACAGATGAAGTATTAATGAAAATTATAAGTTGAGAAAAAGTTGATCAAATCAAAAATCTTACTTTGCTTCAAAAAAATGTTCTTTACTTCTATCATCCCATTGAATCTTGCTTTTGAATGATTCAAGACTTTTTAGGTATTGTGAACCTAAAATAGGTCCACCACCTTCTGGTGTATAATTGTATCCATAAAAATTGATACCTAGCAAGATTTGAGTTCGTCTGGGATCATTTTGATCTGGAATTAATAGTTCTACACATTGTCTTGCCCAAGAAAGTGGACTATTAGGACCAGGACGTTGAATGCTTGAGTAATCGTATGTCATCAAAGAGAAAGCTTTAACATGGGGTGCCAATTCATTGAATTGGTCTCTTGAAAATAATTGTGCTTTTGTACTAAAAAATCAAAATAAGTCTAATTATTTAAGAGATTATCAGAAAAAAAAAATAATAATGTAAGTAATATGAGACTTACCCTCTTGATGGTGGAACTGCTAATATTATGTCAAGATGATTGTTTTTTAATTTTTGAGCAATTGTTTTAACCACAGACAAAATAATTTGCACATTGATACCCGTAAATATAAATTGATTCCATATTTCTAAGACATAACCATCAAAACGGAATGTCTATAACAAAATATTTTAACATGTAGACATATATTTATATTTTTATAATAGAATTTGTATGTTGTATCATTTTTTCTTTTTTTATAACAATAAAAACATTACCTTTGCTGTATCAGATAGTATCGTAACGAGTTGTTGTTGCTTTTGTATATTATTTTCTAATTCGACGATATCATTGGTTGACCAATGTTCGAATAATACCCTTGGCAAAACTGAAATATGTTCATACTAAAGTAAAAGAATATTTTAATGATTTTTTATACAATTATTAAGTGGTATATAATAACCACTATTATTTTCTAATTCGACATACTTTTTACATTATGATTTTCACTGTTCATAGATCTCATATCTTTCAACCATTTTTTTTGAACATCATGTGTTGGTAATTGAAATGTTGACATATTACTAGGTAATATGGATAACCATACTGGTGATACCATTGTGAATTTCCCATGAAAAGTTTTTGATATCTCATATCCATTACTGTTCCACTAAAATTATATCATAGAATATAAGCTAATTATAATAATAATTTAGCTCTAATGATTGTACTTACAGGAGTAATATATCCTAAAATTTCTCCAGAAAATCTTCTACGCTTAGTATCTATAAAATATGTTCCAGATTCCCTAATAATTTCGGTTGTTTTAATATCTTTAGTTACTAAACTCCTTTGAAAAACGTCTTTGTTGACAGGACCTTTCTAAAATTATAATTAAATCAATCTTTAAGGCATGTTGTATATGAGGTAATTAATTAATAAATTTAGAATTTTGTAATTTGAACAATATTCATTATAATAACAGATTCTTTTCATTATTTTTTATACCTGAATATCTATCTTCCCTTTATCCTTTTTATCCTTTTTATTGCCGGTATTTGTAGGCGGCGACAATGTGGCTTCAGATAATTTAATTACGATTAATATATTTATCAGTATCAAGTAGTTCATAATATTTAAAATACTTATTCAATTAATAGTATTAATATTATTTAATTAATAATTGTTCAAAATATTTTATAATGGATTGTATACAAATGGTTTTATGGAAGTAAAATTTTTTTATATCGAAACGACAAGTATTACTTTAGGTTTCAACTACTCATAGAGAGTGCTGTTATCGCTACTACTGCATACCCTGGTGACAATATCTTGAACTTATAACGTTTCTGATCATTTATCTTCATGTCATCTAATTGAACTTGTCAGTTTCTTTATAGGAGCTGTTAAAGTGTATTAATTTTATAATAATTTAAAGATTTTGATAATTTTTTCCGTTTACAATAATAATTAACGTTTTTTCCTAACAAAATGCAAGATAGATAACGAAGTATTAGCGTAATTTATAGCAATTCTATAATAAGTTTTAAGGTTACTTTTATAACTTACATGATTTAATTATACAAATTATGTTGAATATATATATTAGAAGAAAATAAAAGAAGATTATTCTATAGTATTTGTGATAAGTTATTAAAATAGCTGTAAAAGAAGAAAGAAGAATTATTCAATGAAATTAGGAGATATTATGTTTACTACAGAGAAGGATATTCCTAACCTAAATTATAACTATAATAATTTTCATTTTTCAATCAGTGAAAAAGAAAATGAATCTGAATTTGATATAAAGTTAAAACAAGCATGGGAAAAGGCTCAAAAGGATGGAGTATTTCGATATTTATTAAATATTAGTAGTTGGCGGATACTTGAAGGTCCGTATAGACTGTTAGTTCAGGTATATATAATTTTATTTCAGAGCATTCATTACCTATATATTTTATTTATAGTACATAGTAAAATATGTATCTAAATTTTTTAGCTTAATCCTGATAGAGCATTTAAAAGACGAACACCAGAAAATATTACAACAATGTTACAGCCATTTGATCCAACAAAATTTAACTTTACTAGATTATCAAAAAGTGAAATAATGTTTAAGATAGAAAATGAAGATGATAGTGATATCATAGCAGTTAATGTTAGCCCTACTGAATGGTGTCATTCTTTACTAATTATAAAATATTTGCAATGTCTTCCGCAGAGCATTACGTGGTATAGTCTTCAAAAAGCTATTGAGATATTGTTGTTGAGCAGCTCACCGTAAATATTTCATTATTATATATATGTGAATCTATTATATGTGAATATAAGTTAAAAACATTCTTTGATATTTTAGGTACTTTAGGATTGCATTTAATAGTTTATGTGCTTTTGCTTCTGTCAATCACTTACATTGGCATTTATATTACCTCAAGCACAATATGCTTCTTGAATATATCGTAAATAATTAATACATATAATATATTTAACAAAGAAAAACCAATTGTAATTATTTTAAGAATGAAACTTGTTTTAGGAAGTACAACCATATCAAGGTTCTTTGTTCCTCTTAGAAAATTTTCCTAGCAAAGGATTTTGCTTTAAATTATCATCTTCAAAGAAAATAGAAACTTTTGTATCTTCAATATTTTCATTAGTAAATTACCTACAAAAGAATCAGATAGCACATAATGTATATGTTACAAGAGCAAAAACTATAAATTCAAAAGAAGTGTATGATGATGTACGGGCATACGTTTGGGCAAGAAAGTCACATTTTGATGTAAAAAATACAACTTTGTTTAATTCAGCTACATGCGAACTCTTTGGACACATATTTATTAAGAGTAATTATTTGATTTAATTGATTTTCTTTTTCAAAAGTATCAATTTATTTTATTATATTATTGGGTATAATGCTCTTTGTTTTCTTTTTTTTTATAGCAGAAGAAGCATATCAAAATTTGACAGAATCAACAATAGCAAAAATATTAGAGTCTGTAACGGAACAGCCTTATTTATTAATTAAAAAAGATTTACATAAAATAATGTAAAATCAAATAACAAAGGACGGAAGATAATCTATTATTATTTATTATAGTTTATTATCTATCTATAAAAAAGAAATATATATATATATATAAATATATAAAAATAAAAAACATTCGAATTTTATAATTACATAACCTTTCAATTATGTGTACTTTGTTCATTTGATTTTTCGCGCGAATAAATAAACGAAATTCTGGTTATAATAATTTCATAATGATATTTATATAAACGATAAAAACATTATATAGACAATATTATAAGATTATAAAATATAAATAAGAGAACTTATACTTTTTTGTATCATTATTAAATATTATAAATTATTAAATATTCAAAATTAATATTTTATGTCGCATTTAATTTAAGCCAATAGAAAAGCAGAAAGAATTTGAACATGCAAAGAGAACCAATATACAGTTCGTCGAGACAAACGCACGAGGAGTCGGGATCATTTTATAAGGAAAATTAGGTAATTATTCTTATTTTATAAGTTATTCTCGTTTTTCTTTTAAAAAATTTTAATCCGATATTAAAAATAAGAACAAAACATTATTCTTATCGATAAAAGTATATTTCGATAAACGATAATCTAAAAGATTGAACGAAGCGTATGTATATATGTTCATACATATACATTTCGTAGGTTGTACAAGTAAATACATACAGTATGTAAATACATATACATAGTTTGAAGAAACAGAATGTTAATTAAATATACGTTGTCGATTTTTATTGAAATTTAATCTACATAATATTGAAATATAATCGCTAATATCGGATTAATTTGAACGTAATAATTTCCAATATATATATGTATGTGTATATATATATATATTGGATATATATATATATATATATATATATATATATATATATATTATACATTGTATTCATCAATCTGAAGATAATTCGGGCACGGAATCGTTCGAATACTTTCGTTAGAGACGCTATAATTTATCACGTGACAGTCGTGAGAGTAAATCGTAAATCGTTTTCTAAAATAGCGACGAAGAATTGGCACATAATAAAAGAACAATCGATGATGGCAAGTTTATTCAAGGACGGGGAGAGGGGGAGAGGGATTTATTTGTTCCTAACCTTAAAAATATACATAAATGTAATGATAACGAATTAAAAAAATATAAGTATCTATCTAAGCGTTTTCAGGAATATTTTACTTATAATATGATTAATCATATGATATGTATAATAGATTTAGGCAGATATAAAAGGTCTAAGTCGAAAAGGCAAAGAATATTAGATTCGGGAGATACGGCTTTGATTTACAAGAGCTAATTAATATAAATGTATATTGGAGGTTATAATAACAAATGTCGATATAAAAATTAACAGTAGACATAACGAACGACAAATTTAACATTTAACAATAATTAAATCTCGTATAAATATCGTACTTTCTTATTTTCGTTGTTACTTAAAATATATAAACAACTTTTTTTCCTTTTATAATGCTTTCTCTTTTTTTTTCTATTTTTTTCTTTTCTTTTCTTTTTTTAATGCTTGAAACTTTTCAACAAATTTTAAATGAATACGTGAAACAAGGTCGCCCAAATTGGACATAATATAAGCTTTGCTAACAATATTAATTAATATTTTTCTTTCGCCGTTTGATATGTTCTTATTGACATTTTAACAACGATACCATCGTATCCCATTTATAGCGTCGAATTGAATGATTAGAATTGTCGAAATGGTGTCATTTTGCTGTGCAATTAGGCGTTTTATGATATTTAGAAGTACTAGCAGTATAAAAGTATCAAGCTAACTATATAGATCGATCGTGCGTTTAACTTACGAACGAAATCGATTATGATGGATGATCATTCTCTTATATAGTTTTCATTCTAAAACAATTTTTAAATAATTCTCAAAACATTTTTAAACAATTTAAACGATCCAATGTTTCGAGTTAAATTTCGTATTAACGATTTTTCGAATCACTGGAAAGTTTATTATCATTATAATCATCATCATAATCATCATCATCATCATCATCATCATCATCATTACCACCACTACCACCACCATCATCATCATCATCATCATCATCATCATCATCATCATCATCATCATCATCATCATCATCATCATCATCATCATCATTATTTCAAAATAATTTAACTTGAGAAATTGAAAAACTGTGAGAAACTCGTAGAAAAAAATATGGAAGAACAAGTAGCAAAGAGAATATGATCGTTAAATTGAAGGATTATACAAACGTAAGATAACCTATTTAATTCGGTCTATTTCAATCAGGATTAGTGAGTGAAAATGGATTAGGAATGAAAGTACGATTTTACATTATCTAATATTTTCTTTTTCCTTTTTCTTTTTCTTTTTTCTTTTTTTTGCTTTTTCTTTTGGAGATCCAATATATAAATTAAGCGGATCAATAAATCGTGTTCCAGTCTTTGGAAAATCAAAGAGCGATTATTAATCGATCATTTTCTTCGTTCGAAAATGATCCAAAAGGACGTCGAAATATATTCACCAATAAATTATTCTCAAAGTATAGAAAATTGTTCTCAAGGTAATAGGAAACTTTTGAAAAGAAAAATAACGATTAACAATATCATAGGCGACGAGGACATTGCAATGACCACACCCGAGCCAAGATTGTCCTGTACGACATTGTCGTAACAATTGGCGATAAGCTCAAAGTCGATCAAATTCATTGGTTTATTGTTGTATTCGATCGGCGATATACAATAATTTTTACGTTGAAATTCAATAGCGCTACCGTTAACGAAGTCGCTCTCGAGAATATTATGAGCTTGACAGTCACAAGGGAAGTGATTGTCGATCGCGCTGATCGAATTCACTTCTAGAACTATGTCCTTTGCATGACGAGGAGCCTCGAGTACGTGATTACCGTGAAACCTAAGGATGTTCACAGTATTTTCATCTCTCAAATGAAATCTTTCAATTAGGTCAATCTTGTTGTTGAGAATGTTAAGATGATCAACGTAAATTAAACCAGTGAATGCGTCTTTTTGAATGACACCTAAATCGCTCTCTTGAATGTTTAAAGAGTTTACGTGGCTTAGGCCACGAAATGTGTAGGATTTTAAACTGGAAAGATCCATGAAGGTGAGCTTCAATAGACCAACCGTATGTAATCCATCAAAAGCATCTGGTTCGATGTTACGAATACCCGATGGTAAAATAAGTCTGATAACGTTTGTCAAACCGGTAAAAGCATGACTATGTAAACTTAATAATGGATTGTTGCTTAAAAGTATAGCACGAATATTTGAGGTACCGGCAAATGCGTAACCCTCGACGTAACGGATCTTGTTATTCGCCAGTAATAGAACGGAAACGTTCTGAAGAGCGGCGAAAGAAAATTTTTCAATATAGGACAAAGGTGTGTCCTGAATCGAAAGCTCTCGTAATTTGTTCAATCCACGAAAGGCAAACGGCTTTATAGACGAAATATTGTTACCATCCAATGAGAGTTTTTTCAGTACACGTAGACCAGCGAAAGCATCGGTCTTTATTATAGGAAAATTATTTTTCGTTAGAGACAATTCCTCTACTCCTTCTGGTAAATGTTGGGTCGGTATATCCTCTAGCCCTCCCGTATTGCAAATTACCTGTAACACGTACATACAAATTCCTCTTTATTTCAAAGATTTTATATACACGCGAGCTTACGTAGATATCTGTAAAAAAAAGAAAAAAAAAAAAAGAAAAAGAAAAAAAAAAGGAAAAAAATAATTAAAAAAAAAAAAAAAAACGGAAGAATTTTTATGTGCGTGAAAAAAATTTATCCGAAAAATTCTTTCGACTAAAACGACTAACTTTTTCGAGCTGTGCATATATGAGATATATATTTCATTCCATTTTATCTTCCATTCATTCGTTCGTCCCTTTCATTATTTTTTTTTAACGTTGATTGATCATTTGAAAGAGGCTTATACGATTTCGAAATAAAAGACCGCTCTCTTATCGTTCTTTCTTCAATAGGAATTGCAATGTGCGAGTGACAGCTCGAACGGTTCGGTAATTACCTATGTAATTACCTTCTGGGAAAGACAGATGCATTCTGGAGGGCATTGTATGTTCTCGGCTGTATTTTTTTCTTGATTCGTGGAAAGCGCTAGGCTCACCGTCGCTGTACACAGTACAAAGTAAATCGAGATCTATAAGAACAGAAGATAAAAAATATAAGAAAAAATAAATAATTAAACGAGATGATTTCTATGGGAAGAGAAAAGAAGAGAGAGGGAGAAAATACATACAACATGTATGTATATATGTGTATATTATGTAATATATATATATATATATACATATATATATACGATCATATATACGTATATATGATCGTTTATAGATATCTATGTGTCCATAAATGTACATACATATATACATACATATATACATACATACATACATACATACATACATACATACATACATACATACATACATACATACATACATACATACATACATACATACATATATACATACATACATACATACATACATACATACATACATACATACATACATACATACATACATATATATATGTGTGCATGTATGTATATTCGGTGTATGTTGTGTGTGTGTGTGTGTGTGTGCATATATATCGAAAAAGAGTGTAAACTTGTCATTATATAAGAGTACTATACAAATATGCGTATTTTGTTTGGTACCTGCGCCCTGTGATACATCAATCCCAGAATTGTTTACGGCGCATGCCTCGTCATATCCAGAAAAGTCAGCGACGACGTGGGACGTAGTTCTTGTATCTCCTCAAAGACAACGTTCAAACTATCAAGCCAAAGTGATGAGAGACACAATGGGGGGGAAAAAAAAAAGAAACAAAAACTAGGAAGAGATCAAAGATGAGATAGATTCGAGATTTATCTTTTCTCGATGCGCACGAGTATAAATGAATCACTGTTATTTTTTTTTTTGTTTTTGTTTTTCTTTTTTTGTTTTTTTTCTCATTCACTTTGTGACACACTTGTTGTGAAGAAGAGACGAATTCACCAAACACCGAAAGATAAAAAGATAAGAG